GAGTTGTAACAATTCTAAAAATCTTTTAGAGCTCCTTGTATTTAAGTTTTCATAATCCATTTGGAAAAATATATTACACATTAATGAATAAATCTATATATACTGTATAAGATTATTTTCTATTCATGTAAGCTATAGCTTCTGACTTTTAAATCAAAACAGACTTGTGATTTTATGACATCAATTACTGTTTAATTTATTCAGAAACACAATCTTAATGTTAATTGTGTATTTTAATTTCATTTTATACAAGTAGGCCTAAGCCGCCCCCTAAATATATAAAAGGCCTTACCGGACAGGTATTAAGACCTGGAGGAGGCTGTTGCTGCTTATAAGATTATAAATATATAAACGTTTATTTTGTGTAATAAATGTATAGCTAATTATTGATAAAACAAAAATTGCTAATGCTTTATGTGAAAATCAGAAATGTAAAAAAATAATATACAAACATCTAGAAAAAAAATCAGGAGTACAGCTATAAATTGTGTTAACATTAAACAAATAACTTAAGAAGGTTAGTAAAACTTTTCTGTTTGATATTAAAAACAAATCAAACAAGTGTTTATTATGTTACACAGAATCTACTAGAATATGAGGTTAGGAATGACATCCAGCACTGTGATTCGGCTCGGATCATACACTGTAAAAAAAAAATCTGTGACATTTATGGTAAAATACCGGCAGCTGTGGTTGCCAGAACTTCAACTTTAAAAATATGGTAGAAACATTTTAGGTTTCACAGACTTAGCTTAAATTCACAATAAAAAAGATTTTTCATTAACTGATGTAATGTTAGTAAACCAGCATATTGAAGTACTAATATCTGTTTTAAACCATTGAAATGCTGATAACCACCAAAAACAGGTGGTGATGAGAAGGTCACATGATGAATCAAAGCTCAATTTGAGTTGAATTACTGAAATAAATGAACTTTTCCACGACATTCTTTTGTGAAGCTCTTCCAAAATCTGAGAAGGAAAATACTAATATACAGGTGCATCTCAATAAATTAGAATGTCGTGGAAAAGTTCATTTATTTCAGTAATTCAACTCAAATTGTGAAACTCGTGTATTAAATAAATTCAATTATCACAACATTTTTTTAAAGTGTACACACAGTTCTCCTCTAGGCCACTGTTCACCATTCCACAGTTAGGAGGAACCTACGCTGTGTCATATCCATGTTCATACCAGGTCTTCTGTGAAGGATGACCTTGGTAGTCGATTTTCTTCACCCTTCCCACTTTTACGCTGATTCTGAGAACAGCAAGCATCTTTGAATGCAGAGGGTAACGGGAGGCTTTTTCAAAACTTCTAGTGACATAGACTCCCGGTCCCAGCATGCCATCAAAGGAAGGAGAGAAGCTGTCATGATCCTCATCGCATTCAACATCGTAGTGCCATGATACATTATGAAGGATTGTCTGCCTCTGTGCCAGTTTGGTTGAATGTCATCACAGAAACACTCAGGGCACATACAACAAGAACAAGAAGAGGTCATAATCACAGATGTCCGAAACATCTTGCTGCTGTATTCCCACGATAGTTCTCACGTCTGGTGAACAAACCTTTAGATAAATGTTGCAATACATGAGTTAGTTTTTGTGGTTTGCTTAAAGGGATAGTCCCACAATGAAAATTCTGTTCTTTTATGTCATTTCAAACCTGTATGACTTTCTTTCTTTTGTGGAATATATTCTGTATTTACTGTTTTTGTGAAAAGAGTATGAAAGTCAATGAGGTCCACAACATGCCATTATATGGACTAAAAACATGAACATTTTGGATTTTTTTAAAAATACAGAATAAGTGTTTCACAGAAGACAGAAATTAATTTTGAAATGAGAATGAGTAAATGATGACAGAATATTCATCAACTATTCTGTTAAACAATCTATACTTCTAACACATTGATCAGTTTATTTGCACAGCAAATATCTGTGTATTTAAATTAGACATATAGCTTAAAGGTGGGGTATGTATTTTTTCAAAAATGCTTTAGAAACCTGAGACCGGCCGAGTACCAAAACAAACTTGTAGCCAATCAGCAGTAAGGGGTGTGTCTACTCATGATGTGGAGGAGAGTGCAGTGCACAGGACGGACATTAGCTAAGCCGAGCAATAGAAAGATAGAGATGGCGGATAAAAAACAAGAGGAAAACGTTTGCGGAACAAAAGAAGGCTTAAGGCAATAAGGCAAGAAGTAGGGCCCGTGTAAATATCGGATCAGCTTTCCAGCTCTGGAGAGAACTCAAGGAACGGGAAGGCCTGCGATCGGACAGCAAGGTTGCTTTTGTTTCTTCTCGATAGGTGTGTAACACTGTGTCTACACCGGACGCAACACCTAATGTCTGTCTACACTGGACGTGATAAAGCGACCGTTGAAAATCATTTGAAATTTGTTTCAATACGTCATAAATAGAACGCAGCAGCAGTTTTCCAACATCCAATGTACACAGCATCACTGATTATGAGTTCTATAGTACTTTGTCGCGCCACTCGCGTCCGGTGTAACATTGGTTTTGCTTTGTTTCACAAAACTAATCGTTGCCTGGGTTGCGTACATATGTGTGGGGCGGAGCTATCAAAATAGGGACGAGACCCTTTTGGGGTAGGGGCGTGTTTGTTTTGGTGATTTGAAATATCAACATTGGCTACCAGAAATCACTTACCCCACCTTTAAGGGCATGTAAAGGTAGCTTCTCTGAACTGAAAGTAAAAGACTAAAACAAATGTTTGATATTTTGTGTATTTTATATGGGTAGATTACTTACAAGTTGTAGTCCGTTACTGATTCCAAATGACATGACAAAAACTGTAGTCAGTAACATAATCCATTACATTACACATTTTAGGTAACATAATCAGACTACTTTTAGATTACTTTTGATTTAACATGTTCATCACATTGATTTAAATAGGATAATCTTGTACCATATTGATATAAAAATACAAAGAGAAAGAAAATATATTCCATTTGTTTTGTTGTTATTAACAACATGAAATGCATTGAACATTACATTATATCATGATTTTGCAAACTGGGTTTTGTGAAGGAACTGCAGGGAGTTTGTGAGTTTTATGAAAAATAATTCGGGAGAATCAATAAATTATGAATAATTTATTGCTATTGTGTGAATAATATCTAATTATGTAATCAATAAAAAGTAACTATAGTCTGATTACGAGTATTTGTAATGTAATATAATCTAATTACAAGTATTTATTTTTTTAAATCTAAAATTCTATTTTTCTAGAGTGAACCAATTCTCTCTAGAACAAGATATTCTATATAGCACTGCAAATTTAATTTAATTACCGTTGCAATAATAATGGTGATCAAAGCATAACAAGGCAGCCAACCTACCTCCACAGCAGTGTAGCAAAAGTTTCACTTTTATTCCAAAGAGGGGAGGACCAGAACTTGTACAATTTTTGAAGTACAGTTCAAATATTGGAAACAGAGATAAAAACTGGTATATAAGTGAGAATTACATTTTATTTAGCTGATTTCTTATTTCATTTCATTCATATGTATGCGGTGAGGAAGACTGGGCTTCTGGGCTTGTCTTAACAGTTCAACACTGCTGAATGACAGCTAGTTCAGAAACACAAGGAAGTGATTCTTAAGGTATGTTGACAGTAAATATGCAAGGGAATAGGCATCAGTCATGACATAATCCAATATTGCTGTAAACCACCATATGATATCCAACTTGAACTTCTTAAACGTACTTATTCTGCACAGTACAGTGGCTCCAGACAGACTTACAAATATGAATGTTGTTGCGTTAGATAAAATCACAATGCAAATGTCATCTGCAAAACAAATGATGCTAGCTAGCTGTTATGAGCCACTTTTGCAATGACTTTTTAACTAACTTGATTTTTGTTAGATGGCTATAGCTCCAGGGGTTTCACATTCCCAGTAGAATCTACGTCGAATGAAGAAGCTTAAAAGCTAGCTTTCATTGTGATGGATGAAGACAAGAACATCTGATTGTTTCACAGTGCTTCAGCAGCTCATCTACACATTCACCAATTTCATATTAGAAAACATTAATGAACCTTGCAATGATTCAAAACAGGCCATATGAATTTATGGAATTCAGCAGAAATCGAGATATGAAAAATTATAAGCCATATGAAAATGAAACCAAAGATAAATATAAGAACCGTGATGAAAGATTAATGGATAGTAATGGGGCAGACATATGACAGAATTAAAACGTGAAGGGATATAAGAGAACATTAAATTTTGATTTTCAAGTTTTACTAAAATGATTAAATGTAATAATTTATTAATTATTACTGTGTCATTGGTTTCATTTGTGTGTTTCTATCTTTGGTTTCATTTGTGTGTTTAGTTGAAAATAGCTCTTCAAATTTCATCGATAAGATCTAGCAAAAAGTCAAATTCTACACTCTAAAAAATGTTAAATATAACCCAGCGCTGGGTTAAAAAGGGACAAACCCAGCTATTGGGTTGTTTTGACCCAGCTATCGGGTTGTTTTGACCCTGCGGTTGGGTTGTTTTGACCCAGCTATTGCGTTGTTTTGACCCAGCTATTGGGTTGTTTTGACCCAGCTATTGTGTTGTTTTGACCCAGCTATTGGGTTGTTTTGACCCTGCGGTTGGGTTGTTTTGACCCAGCTATTGGGTTGTTTTGACCCAACTATTGTGTTGTTTTGACCCAGTGGTTGGGTTGTTTTGACCCAGCGGTTACCAAGGCTTTGCAAAGATAGTGAAAAATAGACACTGAGATGATGAGCCATTACAATCCAAGGTGAAATAGACCAGTCTCTTCAAGAAATCACAAAAACTCAGCGAGTGATGGTGACCTCTAGTGCTAATCTGGTGAAACTACTAGTACACTGAGCTGACTCTATTTTATAACTCATGAAACAAAATATTTCATGTTATTTCATGTTTTGTTTCATCTCTGCATTTAATGGAATCTCATGTCCCACGTGACCAGATGTAATCGACAACCACTATGTACAGCAAACTGCAAGGTCATGTGAGAATAATGTACTTTTATATTTGCATATTTTCAATACTGTTTAAAATTCAGTATACATTATATACCCTACTGTAGTATGCAGTAAAGCTATGTTAGCATTTGATTTTGCACTCAGCTCAGAGGAATATACTGTATTTGTCCTTGGGTTTCACCAACAACCTTGTTTGAAGTCCTGTAATCCAATGTTGTTTGGCCTAAGGGCAGTTCAGCTAAAGCAAATAGCAAACTAAATTAATTTATAAGCAAATACGTTGCATATTCCAAAAACAATATTGATTATAAAACTGAAGCTCATATTAATATTGTCTTGTTGCCTTCATTCCCTGAGCATAAGGAAAATGATAGTACATGAGAGTTTTTGGTGTGTGTGTGTGTTTCTTTCAGTGTTAGATTAGATTTATTCATAGTAAAAGGATAGTGTTTGACTTCTTTCAGTGGTCTTGTCAATAGCAGTCCTGTGAGTAGTCCACTAAATGGAGAAAAATAATTGCTTAATTGCTTTTCGGGAATTTTTCGGGAAAAAATTATCAGGCCATTTTTATTATGGAAGTGAAATAATCCTTTAAGAAGCACCCTATGTCTGCAAATCACCTTATCTATTTTTCTTTGCAGTGAGAAACACTAGAATCGTAAGATCACCACCACCACAGACACAAGAGGAGTTTCTACAGTGTAAGTTTCCAATAGAACTGAACGCACAAAAGCATTTATTTTCTGATTGTCAAGTAATGCAACATAGTCCTTTATGTTTGGTGTACTAATATTGTATCTTTTCATATGTCCATCTATCTATCTCAGATGCATCAAAACTCACTTTTAATACCAACTCAGCACATGAAAGTCTAATCTTGAGGAATGAGAACAAGGAGGTGAAGGCCTCGCACCTACTTCAGGACTATGCTGAACACACTCAGAGATTTAACTGCAGGGCACAGATCCTGTGCAACAAAGGTCTGAGAGGGTCCCCTAAATATTGGGAAGTAGAGATTGGCGGGGGCACTTGGGTCTGCATTGCTGTGTCTTACCAAGGGATCCGTAGAAAAGGCAAGCAGCGTACACTCTTTGGGAGAAATGCCCAGTCATGGGGACTACGCTGTAAACGTGTCCATATAGAATTTTGGCATGACAATAAGATAACATTTTCGAAGTTTCAATCATATGGCTCCAAAATAGGAGTGTATTTGGATTACAGGGCTGGAATCTTGGCATTTTACAATGTGTCTGACAACATGAGTCTCATTTATAAGCACCAAACTGTTTTTAAAGAGCCTGTTTATCCTGGATTCGGACTGGCTGGGAATGGTTCCTATGTGAGACTTTGCGATCCAGTGAAAAATGAGACCAAAACATCCCTTTCTTCTCCATTAATGTTTGGTAGTTTGTAAGTTGTTGTGTTTACACATGCAGCTATCATGAAATGCATGTTATTCTCAAACTAATATGCAATCATTCATTAGGATTTGGAGGAAGGATGTGTTTTTTTGCATGCAGACACCTGGTGGCAGCACTAGATACGTTTTGAATTCAGCCTTTTTATATCAGCATCTGTAATTATGAACAGCTCAAGTTTAGCCAAGAATAACCAAAGAGGAAAAAAAATCCATGTTTTGTATTATATGAATCATTGCATGTTTATTGAATGTTTGATTTTATATACTGTTTTATAAACTATAGTAATATGCATAATCTCTATTTTTAACATCTTCTGAATATTTATGAAATTACTGCACATCTCCTTATGCTAATGTTGCAAGTGCTTATCCATTTCACATCTGCTGATCTGAATGGAAATCTGTCGTCCTATCTAATCCTTCCGCCACATCCACATACTATGTCTGTTCCTGTTCCCACTATCTGTCTATATTTTATTTCTCCGTTATGCATTAGTCCGTCTCTCCTGTCATGCTCCCTTCAGGCTGCACTCTTCTACTATTCCAACAGTTATACCTACATGGTCTCTTTTTCTCCCTTAAACCACACAAATGCACATACTAACACACACGCACATCATCTCATTCAGCAGATATATACCGAGGCCCAGAGGGTTGGTACAAGGGACAACACCAAAGCCAGTCGCCTCCTGCCCTTCCCCCTGCTACTCACCCTTCCAAACACAAAATCCGCCTAGGGGTAAGTGTAGGGCAGACACGGTTTCAACAGAGCAAGCAATGCCAGAGCAACAGAGAAGCGCAGGAAATGTGTGTAGAGGGAAGGATAGGCACTAATAGCGAACATCATAGAGAGAGAAAGTGTGCCATGGTCCTCAGGGAGCTCCTTTACAGTTCTGTCCAATCACAGACATCATTTTCTTCCTGTATTATCCTTTTATGAGTGACGGGGATTTTAAAATACTCTATTATGAAAGAAACCATTTCTCTCACTGCCAAGGACACTGACACTAGTCTCTATAAATACCCGTTTTTAAACACTGAGTCACCGTATAGACTCGAAACGCTAGGCACAAACACCTCCTAGCAATTACCCAGTAGGCAGATGCTGAGGTCTGTCACTCTTACTGCTAACAAGGTGCATGACTCTCTTGATGCTGCTGGAGTAAGTTGTTGTATAATACACAGTTTTCTCTCTCACACTGATGTATTTCCTGTTGAATAAAGAGGTTTGCCTGGGACATATCAGATGGCTTGTCACTGTTTTTTTTTAATCAATAACCCTATAGGCTAGTTGCAAGTAGTCTTGGGGGAGGGACTTATTTTAAAGAGCATTTGATTGGACAAAAATGTGTACAGTGCAAGGTGAGTCATCAATATGTACTGTCTGCTTTCCCAAGGTAAAAGTGCTATTTTGCTAAAAGTGAATTTTGTCAGCATTTAAGAGAACACTAGCATATTTATTACCCTCAAAGCTAACAGATGTGCAAGAAAATCCACAGAACATTTCCTGCCTGATTTTCTACCTAGTTTACAGGAAATGTCAATTTTAGCCTTACAACCAGAGTTAGGTGCTTTTACACCCTTTTTATTCAACTATCATTTCCCTCTGATTTTAGGGATAAAGTAGGGGTAGGGATAGGTCTATGTTTTTGGACAAAAATGTTGATCCAGGAACATGTCTTACCTGGCAAAATCACTACGACCCTATCGAGCTAGCTAGCTATACACTGTAGTATACTTTTAAATGAATACTTATGGATATAATTTACTTAAAGTAATTAAACATTTATATGGAAGACGTTGCAATTTAGCACATTTCAAATGTATTATCTTTAAATTTAATATGACATCAACTTAAAATTATAACCAAGTACTTAACGTGCTTTAGCATGTTAGTAAACCCTTCAAAACAAGCTTACTTTAAAGCATGACAAAATATTATTAAAACATGGTGATCTATCTATCTATCTATCTATCTATCTATCTATCTATCTATCTATCTATCTATCTATCTATCTATCTATCTATCTATCTATTTATCATCTCATGCACGTCCATATATTATTAAGTCGAAAAGATGAAAGGACTTGAGTCATGTTCCCATCCAGGCACAAACCTAGCGTTTGCATTATTAATTCATCGCTTTACATACAGTAGATACATGCACACTTGTGTGTGAACTCCTCTCTCATGCCCTCCTCCTCCTCCCCTCGCTGGCTCTCTTCAGTATGATATGTTTATAGGCATTGGCTGAGGGAGAGCCAGCATTATAGCTGCTCCTGCTTGATAAGGAAAGCAAGAGGAGAGGGCGCTGGACGTCATGGCATCCAAAGACACCGTCGCGACTGCTTTTCTCACCGTTATCATCTCATGATGCACGTCCATATATTATTAAGTCGAAAAGATGAAAGGACTTGAGTCATGTTCCCATCCAGGCACAAACCTAGCGTTTGCATTATTAATTCATCGCTTTACATACAGTAGATACATGCACCCTTGTGTGTGAACTCCTCTCTCATGCCCTCCTCCTCCTCCCCTCGCTGGCTCTCTTCAGTATGATATGTTTATAGGCATTGGCTGAGGGAGAGCCAGCATTATAGCTGCTCCTGCTTGATAAGGAAAGCAAGAGGAGAGGGCGCTGGACGTCATGGCATCCAAAGACACCGTCGCGACTGCTTTTCTCACCGTGAGTCGGGAAATGACAGGTGATTAAATCCAATCGCTCTTTTTCTTCTTCCTATCCTACATTCGACACGCGCACCGAGGGATTTGTTAAGCGCGTCCCCGCTCGCTGCCGGTGCTTTGTGTTTTAGTGGTTTGAAATCTTCGCAGCGCTGAATGTTTGATAAGGTGGCAGATTTGTGGAGATGTAATGATTTCTCATACAGATTGCATGTGATTAACGGTAGAATCATTCATTTCGCGGGTGAGCATGTGTGCCATATGGTCGCTTTAATGACGGTCACTTCGTGTCCATCTTCAAAAGACTAAATTTGTGCAAATCGATCAGTTGGTTTCCTGTGTGTGTGTGTGTGTGTCTGTCTGTTGCGTTCGCCTGCAGTGTGTGTGCGCGCGCGCATGATGCTGTTCTGTCTTTGATGTGTCTCAGATATGAGTTACTTTCAGTTCTTTACACATTTGCGTATCGCTGCTGACGCAAGTTCACGGAGAGGCTGATACACTTTAGTCACATTCATCATGTGTGTCTTCAGGGCTGATGGAACACACACACACTCATCATAGAGGCCGTCATCTTTGCGCACGGTGATGCGTCCTCACGCTTACTGACACATACAATGACACATTGAACACACACTAGCAGTTTGACATTTGGAGCGCTCTCACTGTTAATTACCTTCACACATTATTATCTTCCTTTGGTAATTAATCCCTATTACTAACCCAGTATTTACTGTCCTGCTCCCAAGCGCTTCCGCTCTCTATTTCAATTTCCATTTAGTGCACTGGGGGGGGGGGGGGGGGGCATGCTAGAAATGATAACTTGTTAACTGGTTAACCATATACCGTATACTCTATCACACACACACATATGTGACCATGGACCACAAAACCAGTCATAAGGGTCCATTTTTTTGATGTATGGTTTGTTAGGATAGGACAATATTTGGCCGAGATACAACTATTTGAATATCTGGAATCTGAGGGTGCAAAAAAATCTAAATATTCAGAAAATTGCCTTTAAAGCTGTCCAAAAGAAGTTCTTAGCAATGCATATTACTAATTTAAAAAAAAATACATTTTGATATATTTATGGTAGGAAATTTACAAAATATCTTCATGGCTGTCCAAAAGAAGTTCTTAGCAATGCATATTACTAATAAAAACATTTACATTTTGATATATTTACGGTAGGAAATATACAAAATATCTTCATGGAACATGATCTTCACTTATTATCCTAATGATTTTTGGCATAAAAGAAAAATCGATAATTTATTTATTGTTGGCTATTGCTACAAATATACCCATGCTATGACTGGTTTTGTGGTCCAGGGTCACATATATAGACATATATAGTGTGAGACAACACATTATCTTATCGTAAAGTTTTTTTTATTGTCTTATAATTTACAGTGATATTGAGTATTTAACAAGGCAATACATATATTTTTATGGTAATATCAGGGTTGTCACTTTAATTTACAGGGCACAGGACCAAATTATTGGGACCAGTAAGCTAGGGGACCTTAATATGCCCCCATTGCTTTGGGCCCGGGACAGTGTTCCCATTTGTCTTTCCCTGTCGATGGCTCTGGGTAAAATATTTTAAAGTTTATAGCTTTTATAAGTATAATCAACTTATAATTGATGGGGAAAGTGGCATTCCCATAATTATTTGCGTGAAATTATTTGAATTTATATAAAAAAAATCGTATTTCTGGTATTAATTAGGCTATGTACATTACATTAGAGTGTTTAAGTTATTTAGTTCATGTTTATTGCATTATTCTGCCATTTGCGGTGTTTGTGATGATGTTTGTGTGAGTGACATGGTTCATTCTATTACTGGTCACTGGAGAGGCGAATTTTGTCATCATGTGGCCTTCCATTGTACAATCTGTATCATTATCAGCACTTTTGCAGTAATCTGCAGATTCTAATAGCTCAGATAGGATGGTGTATTAATATTATTTTCCTTTTGGAAAGCTGAAAAGTAAAAAATGGTGAACAGTCACGACTAAAATATAGCCTAAACTTTCTCATACATACTGTAGAGTAAATTCAGATCAATTGAGCCGCTTTAGACAATAAACATCTCAATAGCAAAATGCCTGAATTCATGCTATCTAAATTTTAGCCTAAAATCTTGATGTGTTAAAAAGGTATGTGTTTGTGATGATGTTTGTGTGAGTGACACATTCATTCTATTACTGGTCACTGGAGAGGCGAATTTTGTCATCATGTGGCCTTCCATTGTACAATCTGTATCATTATCAGCACTTTTGCAGTAATCTGCAGATTCTAATAGCTCAGATAGGATGGTGTATTAATATTATTTTCCTTTTGGAAAGCTGAAAAGTAAAAAATGGTGAACAGTCACGACTAAAATATAGCCTAAACTTTCTCATACATACTGTAGAGTAAATTCAGATCAATTGAGCCGCTTTAGACAATAAACATCTCATCTCAATTTTAGCCTAAAATCTTGATGTGTTAAAAAGGTAAAATTACAAAAGAGCACAAATACAAATAAAACAATAAATTGGGAAAATGTTCAATCAGTCAAAATAAACCCACCTCAACACCAAGCTTATTTCATGGCTACCTAGAGTTACGTGAGAAACATGAAACTGGTGTAGTGTAGGACGAATATACATTTAAGTTATTACATGATAAATATTTGACCGGTCATTTCAGAATGGCATGTAATCAGCTAAAGTAAACAGTCCAGAGTAAAATAAAGAAGGAACAATGAGCACATTTAACAAAAATGATACATTAAAATGGCAACATTAATTGAAGATGAAAAATAAGACTAGATATAAAAATAATAGTTAGCAAAGGTTTAGTAATGGGGGAATAGTGGGCATGACAGATCACCTACCACCATATGAAGGACAGTGATTGAAGACGTTCTGTGCTGCTAGAAAACAGCAGCCTTCAGATTCCCCTAATAAAAAGGGGAGCAAAATCACAAATGTGTGATCTCTCTCTCCATCTCTCTTTCTCTCAGTCACCACTTCTTTCATCTGAATAAATCTAAATTCTAAATCTCACTCCATCACTTATTCCATTTGTTTTTTTTTCTTTTTTCATCTTCTCTTTCGCTCTTTCTTTGTGCACATTTACATATCCCTCCCTACCCCATTTACCCATTTATTTATCCCCCTGTGACTCGCTGTAATGGAAACATGTGCTCTAGTTTGGCCCTTTGCTGTTCTTAGTGTCTGTCAGAAAGCCTAGGATCCCGTGATTGGGTCTTACACAGATTAAAGTTGATTGCGACTGCATTAACTGTTTGTCTTGCTCTGATCCTTCTCTCCCTCTCTCTCTCCTCTGTTATTCCTTCTTCTGCTCGCTCTGCCTTTCTATTCCTTCTCGGAGTCTTTCCTCTTTATAAAAGTTTAAAATGCATATTCCAGGAATTAGATCACAAGTTTAAAATGTGATCGTTCGGACGTACATATACATTACGTGCGAAGCCTGATAAAAAGTATGACTTTTCTCATTTATTTTCTGCTTTTGCTTTGAAGCACATCTTGAAGTGATTTTTATTTGTTGCTATGTACAGTATGCATGCAGAAAGACCACCTACACTAAGTGGACATGGTGTAAAAATACAGCATATGGGTATAAAGCACTAATTTTCTTACCCCTGCGTGCAGTGAAAATATGTCTGAGATAGATAGAGTGCTTCTCTTGCCGTTAATGCATCGCCTTTCTATTTTGCAGAAAGCATCAGACGAGTTATCGGCAAGACATCAATCAAGTTGATGAGAGCTATCAAAGTAGAGAACAAGAGTGGCAAATCAGAAGATCGGATTCTGGTAAGGCACTGCATTTAACTTCCATATTTAACTGCATTAACTATCCATATGTCCTTAAAAGTTCAGTTGATGCAAATTAAAATTGTGTCGTTGTTTACCATCAGGTTGTTCCAAATTTCCCAAAATGTTTGTTCTTCAGTATATTTGATTATGTATGTGTGATACATTTTTGGACACGTGTCATGTACATATATATCCATCATAAAATATATATATATTTATGTTCTAAATAACAGCATATATCATCATATAGGTTTTATTAAGGTCTACATATAAACATTTATCAGGTATCATATATGGCAATATCACTCTTGATAATTGATATAGGGCAATATATATGTGTGTTGTATATTACATTTCAGTATAATTCTTTATTTTACATATAATTACAAAAGAGACCTGAAGCTTTCAGGGCTCAAAAAAAAAAGGAGAAAAAAAAGAATGCAAAAGCACCATAAAAGAGCCACAGAGATTTTTCTTACTTCTTCCAAAGTCATAAACAGACTGAAATGCATGCAATGTCATTTTAAGAAATTTAAAAAGTCCTTCACTGATGATGTTCACTTCTGGATCATTGAGTCAGTGTGTTGAACTCAAAAACTGAATTAGTTTGATTTGTGAATGACTCATTCAGACCATTCAGCTCTTGACTGAAGCAGCCTGTTGTTTACTGCAGGCTTAAAGCCTCAGTCCCTGTTCTGAAACAGTGTTCCACTAAAGAAAGTCATCCAGGTTTGGAACAACATGAGGATGAGTTTTTAAATTATGTAAACATTTCATTTTCATTTTTTTTTGAGTGAAGTAGTCCTTTAAAAATCCATCAGCATTGGGTAAACGTGTGCATCCACTCTGTGCCTTTATTTTGTGCTTCTATTATGCAGCAGTAACAAAAACAATGAGACTAAGACTTTAACCTTTCCTCCTCTGTAATGGTGTGTGCAGTGTTTACTGCCTGCTGGTTGGGTTGTTTTTGCCAAGTCCATTTGGAGAATGGGCAGTGGAATCAATGATAAAAGCAATGTACGTGTGATGGTGCGCACACACAAACAGAAATCGCTGGAGACCGGACCCCTGCTGAGCTGTGAACATTACTGCGGCCATTGAGTCTCGGTGGGTCTGAGGGACCGACCGACTCTATAGGGAGTGTGTGCGAGATGGAGGATTGTGAGAGAAGAGGTAGCGTACGAATGCCAGTGTGTGTATGTGTGATAGTCACTTCAAGACCATTGAAAGCAGCTGGAGACTTGAAATGCCAGGGTTTGGAGCCACAAAAGCTAAATTAATCATCCAGATTGGTTTCAAACACACACACACACACATACAGAGTGAAGGAGGTGACTGAGGTGAGGAATCAAACTAATTTCCTGCTGAGTGTCAATGGACTGTTGTTGACACAAACCCTGAGTGATCTTCCTTTTCTACGCTTGATATCAAAACAATTTTGACTCAGATATTGCTAGTAAATTTCACAAATAATTACAAAGAATTGGAAACTAACAGTGAATTAACTGTGACATTTTGAAGTAGAATAACTGAAATAGTATTTTCTTGTAAAATGTATTCAGATTATCTTGTTCTATCTTATTTTATTAAATACCCCCTGTGGTGAAAATCTATTTTTAACACTGTTTGTCTGGTGTTTTTAATATGCTTCAAGACAAATTGGTTAACACCACTGCTCAGCATGTTCCCTTTAAAGCTGCAGTGTAGCAAAACAGTCTCTAAAATGTGGTTTGAAACCAACCCTGTTTCTACTGTCGCAAACATTTCACCAAGCTCGTCAACTGAGATGGGATTTTTCATATCACTAGCAAATCATTTCTAGATTCATTTCTGGGATTTTCAGAAGGTAACTCTGAGACGGTGAACAGGAACATGGTTTGTGTTAGATTAGCTACACGTTATTTGCTGTTCAATAACATAGTTACTCCATGATATTAGTTACCGTTACGTGTCTGATGATGTAGAGAGCGATACATAAAATGCATTGCTATTCTGATACATTGACTTGTAGATGACGTCTTCTTTGGAATCAGTTTGTGGTTCAAATATGTATGACTACATTAATCCATTATTGCCACTTGCCATTGTGTAGTGTTTGTTGCTTCTATTAACCAAGTGAAAGTGGAGCAGCTTTTCTGAGCTGGTGTGATTGAGTGGAGGCGGGGACTAATTTGCATGTTCATGGTTCCGTGTATAATAAATGAGGTAAGGGTGTAGAGTTATATATTTAAACCATTATAAGGCATGAAGAAATGATTTTCAAAGTTAAAATGTTTAAGTATGTCATTTTAATTATCAAAGATAAGTTTGAAGTGATAAAATTAGTGACTGCAGGGGGACTTAAAAGGGAAAAAATGAAAGGAAAGTCCACCCAAATGAAAGTTCAGTCAGTACTCAGCCACATATCATTTGGCACGTGTGGAACACAGTAAGAAAAGTTAAGCAGAATGTTCTTGCTGCTCTTTTCCATTCATTAAAAGTGAATACTGACTACAGTACAAACAAATAAACTGAATTTTCATTTTTGGGTGAACTATTCCTTTAACCTCACCCCTCCTGCCAATCTGCCTTTGTTTCTCTTCCTCTTTCTGACTCTGTCTATTTATATTAGCATCTTATTCACCCTTCCCCCTCTCCGCTGTGTCTTAGACAGCTCTTTTTTCTTTCTCTGTCATTGTTCTGTTCTTCACATTATATGCTTTACTCAGGCTCGCTTCTCTGTTCTGTCAGATTGATGTCAAGTGTGTATTTTCGGTAGTTTAATGCGCTTATGATTGTGGATGGTTAGAAATTGTGCCCAAAGAGCAAAGCAAATTTAAATGTAGGTCCGAAAGTATGACGAGAGCTTGGGGTTATACAAAAAACACACACACACTTACATCCAGTGTAGAGATATTTGCTTGTGGTCTGTCACTCGCTGCTCCTTTACCCAGGGGTTTTGTGTGTGTGTGTGTGTGTGTGGTGGGATGCCAACTGTACCAGCTTACAAAACACACCCTCATCTGCACATCAATCCACACACACACACACACACACACACACCCCGATACAGCTGTGTAGAGCACTCAGCAAGACATCAGCTCAAGCCTTGGGGCACGACACTAAAAAATATCACTCAAACACACTTTTTCGTACACGTTCACTTAGAGATCACACAGTCTTATTTGAGCACACACATACAGAGTATATATTTTGTGGGCCCACAGCAGAGAGCGATGGTGTGATGTTGGAAGAGGGGATGGGATAAGAGCTGGGCTTGGTGAACAAGAACACACCAGGGAGAGGCTCGCGAGAGGGGGCAATGGAGAGAGAGAGCTAGAGAGGGGGTGGGCGGCAGAGGAGATTGCTTGTTTTGAAGCCCCAAATGTCGCCTTTTCTTCCCCTTCAATTATTTATCTCGGTCTGTCGCTTCAGTTTTTCCTCTCCTGTGGAATAATAGGCCAATTAAAGGCTGTGATCGCCACAGTGAGTGACGTGAAGACTTCCTCAGATCCAGGCTGTCCGCACCACCACCCTGTCTGCTGGACCGTACTCATCCGGAACGGTTCCTAGCTGCAATGACTGGCTTAGTGGCATGCTTAAATTCAGACACAGTGATTTTATTTGGATATTACTCACAAGATTTTGTTGTTTTGAAGTATATGACTGTTATTGGGCAGTTGACAGCACTGGTGGTGTCTTGCAGTGTGACTTGCAATTCATCAAAAACTACTTATATGAATTCTTATATAATTACATTTTTAATTTTAATTATATAATTTTTATAATTATTATGTGTGCAGTTTTATGACCTCATTTTAATTATATTTTATGGAATTTACTTACTCTAATGAATTTACTTGGCAAAGTGAATTTGTCACTCTGCAGAACCAATTGCAAAACGTTTTTAAAATGGCCTTTAAAATGGTAAAACTATAAACTGTGAAATAGTGAAGTCACAGCACCTAGCCTAAATATTACAACGTTTTAGTGCCACATTAAAATAATAAAAATAATAATAAAAAACTATGATTTTGAGAATAAAGTTGTTATGTTTCAATAATAATTATGCCTTTAATGAAGAAAGTCTAAATTACATTTAAATTGATAATTAAATGATTCGTTTTATTATCAAAGCTCTTTACTTTTTATTGCTGGGGGCAAAACATATAATACAATGCAATGCAGAGATGATTGAGAGATACAAATAAATGTTCTACAAAAGTCTGATGTATCTGTTGTAAAAACATATACTCGCATTTTAACATGATTTTTCAAGTTGTTTTAGTCCAGTAAGTGTTCATCTTAAAATATTACTAATAACATAAAAGTTATTCTTATGTTTACTTTATAAAAATCAGTAAAAATTGAATAACAAAAATGTGTACCATGACCTAAAAGTGTCCTTTTACTTGTTAAAAAATTATTAACTATCAATCAGACAGCAGACGGCATGTTTTCATCATGGTATATCTTTGAGACCTTAAAAATTTGCGTTTCAAATATGATACAGTGGGCTTTATGGGATACAAATACATTTGTGCTGCTGCTGCGTAATTCACATTTCAGCAAACAAGAGCCCAGTTGAATATAGTATTATCTTTATGAGTAAAGAGTTCAGAAGACAAAATGCTGTAACGTTAAAGTTCCTCAGGAACTGCTTTATGACTTACAGTATATAATGTCTGCTATCCATTAGATTCCGTTGAACAGGCGGTTCTCCAGAGAAACCTAAACC